TATCTCTGTGCCTTTTTAACAAATACTTTCATGGTAATTTTTTGGAAGATTTCTTTGCTATGGTACCTAGTCTGTATGAATTTAAGCACAATACTAGACTGGTGGCATGATCGCATCAATTTACAATTAGATGTAGATGTAACTTCTATGCTGACAGTTTCTTTTCTTGTTTGTGGAAATCTCTTCTGGTAAAGTTGTAAATTCTGGTAAATAAGTAAATTCGTATGCTGAGCTTGCGAAAATCAAGGCTAACAACACACCCATCCATAACCTAATCTTTATTATAGTAGATTGTGATACACAATTTCTTTATAAGATGTTAACCTTCAGGAAAGTGACTCGTTGAGCCTTCACGGGCTAACATTCTCAGCTGACATGATGTGAAAAACTATATTAAATCCATTGCTAGGTCAGCTGCTAAGAAAATCAGTTCACTTTGTTGGATGAGACAATTTTTCTCTCCAGAATCTATCTTATATATCTATAAGTCTACCATTCGTCCATCGTTAGAATATTGCTATCACATATGGTCCGGTGCTGCTGCTATTTACCTTGAGTTCCCTGATAAGATCCAAACAGCAATCAGCTATATTAGTGGTCCTGATCTGGCGGATCAGCTTCAGTCACTTTCCAGCCACCATAAGGCTGCCTCTCTCTGTTTTTTTTCTATAAATACTTTCATGGTAATTGTTCAGATGAGCTCTTTGCAGTAGGGGTAGTTTTGTCCAATATAGCATAATGTTATAAAACTAAAACATTAACCTAAGAATTTGTGTTATGTTCTTAAATAGCTTCATTAGACATAGACTTTCATATGGATATCCTGCATGGCACCAAATGTCTAAACTATCACTTTGTTTTATGACCACATCACATTCAAACATTGGTTTCTGTACAATAACCAGTTAAGCAACGTCAAGCTGGGTCAATACCTAGATTGGTGACCACTTGGGAATACCAGGTGGTGACTTCGAATTGTTAATTGGAGAGCCAAGTTTCAATTCCCATTGTGTTTGTTATATCTTAGTAGTAAAACATGAAAGTTTTTGTGTAGCAATGTAAAATGTTTTTATTGTAATTTATTATAATAAAATATTATAATATATATATATATATATATATATATATATATATATATATATATATATATATATATATATATATATATATATATAGAGAGAGAGATATAGATAGATAGATAGATAGAGAGAGATAGACTGACAGAGAGAGAGTGAGAGAGTGTCCACAATGCATTTAAAGAATTTTAAAAAGTCATCATGAAAAACTTAGAAGAGGTGGCAACTAAATTTTTGTTTCATATAAATATTTTATTATTAAAATTCTTTTAATATAATAGTTTAATTAATCTTATGTTTTTATGTTTCAGACTGAAACGAATGTTGTTTTGTCTTCCAGACCTCAATTAATGAAATACCAGGAGTTACTCCTAAAGTTGGATGACATTGAATGACTACTCCACAAGCAAAAGTGTGTGTCTTGGTTTATCAAAACAAATTTGGATGTGCAAACACAAAGAAATTACACAGCTAAATATGGAAAACAAACTCCTGCATGTCAGTGGATTCCTAACTGGCATAAGCAATTTATAGAAACAGGGACAGTACTACATAAACCAAAGACCGAAAGTCTAAGAACATCTGAAGAAGATATTGAGCATATCTGTCAGTCATTTCAACATTTTTCATCTAAGTCTATCTGTACTGCTTCCACTCAACTGCTACTACCAAGATCAAAATCCATAACAATCTGAGGCTATGTTCATATAAAATTCAATTATTGCTAGCAATTAAGGTACATGACAAACTGCAATGAAAAGATTTTGTTGTTACAATCCTGCAAAATATAAAAAATAATGGTAGCTTCATTAATTGGATTTGCTTTATAGATGAGACAACCTTTCATGTCTGGAAAACTGAACAAGCATAATGTATGAATTTGGGGATTAGAAAATCGTCTCATTACTGGGGGAATTGAATGTGACAGTCCAATGTTCAATGTGCAGAATTTTGTGCAACAAAGTTATTAATCCATTTTTGTTTTTGGAAAAGACAATAATGGCTGAAACTTACCTTTATTCCTTAGTATCGTTGGATGACGTCTAAGTGTCAGCTTTCTTGTAAAAGTAAAAATGTAAAAGTAATCCACCCACCTCCACCCTCTGACTTTATTTTTATATTTTAGCTTATATCTGACTTTTAATTGGTTAATCTAGACATACCCATAAGTATATTTTAATTCTGACCTTATGCACCCACTCTTTAACTTCCCAAAAGATGTAACAAATGTTTTTAAATTTCCCTAATGAATCTTTTTTATCACAAGTTAACTACCATCGCCTGAAGAAGTACAATCTTGGTACTGAAACATGAAAGTTTTTGTGTAGCAATGTAAAATATCTTTATTGGAATTTATTATAATAAAATTATTATAATTATATTTTGCTCTACTTTGTACCGAGCACTTTTTTTAAAAAAGTAGATGCTATGAGCTGTGGATTTTTTCTCCATCTGTTCTTTTTCTCATTTGGATATATATTTATATATATAAATTGTATGATAAATTGAAAAAAAGTTTTTGTAATGCATTTCATCCATTAGGATTTCACTGGATGTATTACAAAAAAACTTTTTTCCAATTAGACATACTCTTTTTCTAAATACTGTTTGTTGATATACAAAATTATATATCACTATATCACACATCCCCCATATATATATATATATATATATATATATATATATATATATAGGTAGCAATCCTTCCTTTATGCATGTTTCATTAAAAATGACAGACAAGGTACTATGGTTAAGCCTGGAAATATAAAACATTTGGACAGTTCTTACACACCCTTTGTCCAGAAAAGAAAGCTCTTGTTAGAACACAAGAAAAATTAAATAAAATGCTTAACCATAGTACTTTGTCTGTTGATTTTAATGAAACATGCATAAAGGAAGGATTGCTGCATAAATATACAACTATCAAATTACACAACCCGGCAGCCAACAAGGAAAATAACACCACTATATTCAGGAAAAACCTCATCTTACAACAAATAAAATCAGCTCAAAATGACATCCAACATTTAAACAACAAAATACACAAAGATAACACTACACTAAAAAACACCTTAACCAAACTGGAATATAATGAAGCATTGTACCACCTCAACCTTAGTATCAGTGAGCACCAACTTAACTGTATTCAGAAATTAAAAACATCCCTACCACACACTAAGACATGCACAGAACGCACTCACTCAATTAAGCTGAAAAATCGAATCATCCTTGATAATGGCTAAAGGTATAGCCGAAAGTGCTTGTAAATATAAAACATTTGGACAGTTTTTACATACCCTTTGTCCAGAAAAGAAAGCTCTTGTTAGAAGACAAGAAAATTAAATAAAAAGCTTAACCGTAGTACCTTGCCTGTTGTTTTTAACGAAACATGCATAAAGGAAGGATTGCTGCTAAAAAATATATATATATATATATATATATATATATATATATATATATATATATATGAAAAAACTTAGTTTTTTAAAGTATGTTATATTTATGGGTAAAAGTGCTCATTATCTAGGATAGAATGTGTGAATATAAAATATAAAATGAACACTGAGGTCAACACCAAAGCGACAACAGTCTGTTTCATGCTGGAATGCAACCAGAGAGATTGCATTCAAACATGAAACAGACTGATGCCCTTGGTGTTGACCTCAGTGTCCACTATATATATATATATATATATATATATATATATATATATATATGAGCATATGGCTGAGTAGTTAGAATGTTTGCATTCTGACAATGACACCATGGTGGATTTGTCAGGAAGGAGACTTCCTAATGTTATCAGACTGGAGGGGTTGATTCCAGTGTGTGGCACATATGGAAAGTGCCTGAAAACCGTACCACAGGTTCATCCAAGCCTTGTGAGTGAATTTTGGTAGATGAAACCCTTGTGTGTCGTGAGTAGCTGTGCTAGCACAAAGTCACAAGTCATCATGGTTGAGGGCTTGAGTATGCTGGCTTTGTTCAAAATGTTGATCATGCTAGAAAACACACTCTTTCACAAAAAATGTAGCTACGGTCTGCTCAGTATAGTTGCAGTATAAACCACAGGTGGGCTCTGTGGGTGTTGCATAAACACAAATGTGCCTGAGCAAGTGTCTGCAATAGGGATTGGCTACCTGCCCTAGTAGACAGGTATCCTCGAATACGAGTGGCCAGTTATGCATACATACACATACACACACACACATATATATCTATATATCAATATATCTGTATATATATATATATATATATATATATATATATAAAATGCTTACATACACACAGACATATGTATACACACACACACAGAAAATAATTTTCAGCATTATGTGAATTTGTTGATGGCTTATCGTTCTTTAAAATTGCATAAGAAATTTTGTTAATTTTTTTTTTAATGGTTTTTTCAATCTTGAACTGCCACTGATGTTTTTTCTTTTTCCACTTTCCAGAATTACATTTAAAGTTTGATCATTGTGGCTGATGTTCGTGAATTCCATTCAAACGTTAGACTTTCCAAAACTTTCAACTGATTGCTTCACAAAGTGCCATGGCTGATAAGAAATGAGAAAGCAGAAAGATCTCACATGCAAAAATCGGAATTCAAACAACTTAAAAATCTTACTTAAATCTATTCCTACATAGTTGTCATATATTATTCTTATCAGTAAGAACTGAAATGGTCACCCTGACAAGCTTCATTTCATTATTTCTGTTGTCATTAATGGACGCTTGATCTCTGTTGGCATATGACTTGGAGGAACATCCATAAAAAGGCAAAAGATATGATCTATCAGGAACCGACCTGCTTATGGAATGAGTCCAAAAAAATAATGTTCTTGCAAAATAAGAGAAGATTAAATTAAATGAATATTGCAAGAAATGAAATAAGAAGAAAGATAAGAATGAAGATGGGAAAAATTAAGAAAAAAATGGTGAAGAATATGAAGGAGAAGGAAGTGGGATGAGATTGAGAAAATCTAGTTGAAGAAAAACATGAAGGAGAATAAGGAGAAGGGTGTAATGGAGAATGAGGAATAGAATGAGTTGATGCTGTAAAAAAGAAGAAAAAACATCAAGAAGATGAAAAAGGGAAAAATGTAATGGAGAATGAAAAAAGAAAGAAGCTAACATAGAAAAGAATAAAATAATGAATATGGGGAAAGTATGGAAAAATAAGGAAAGAATATAGAAGAAAGAGAGAGGAAAAATAAGTGAGGAAGTGGAGGAAAAGAAAATAACAAGGGAAAAAAGAAGACATTAAGGAAAAAGAAGGAAAAAGAGAACATGATGTAAAGGAAAAAGGAAAGAAAACATTAGGGAAAAGAAGTAAAAGAAGAAGATGATGTGAAAGAAGAAAGAAAGAAAAATGAGGGAAAAGAAAAATGGAAGAAGAAGAAAAGGTGGGAAAAGAAGAGAAAGAAGAACACGAGTGAAGGAAGAAGACAATGAGGAAAAAGAATGAAAAGAAGAACATGATGTGAAAGAAGGGAAAAAAATGATGAATGGAAAAGAATGAGAAGGACATGATGTAAAAGAAGAAGGGATGAATATAATGAGAGACAAAAAAGGGAGAGAAGGATGTGGAAAAGGAAGATGAAAATAAATGATAAGCTGCATGGAAAAGAAGGAAATGATAAGAAAAAAGAAGAAAAATTACAATAAAAAGACTTATGAAGCCATTGTAAAATTCTAAAGCAAAAATTATTTCTACATTTCAATAGTTACATTATGACTTCTAAACCTCTACAACATTCTCTTGTACTCTGTTTGTATGTAATTCAAAATCTAAAATAAAGTTTTTGATGTGTATTCAAATTGCATTTCTGTTGTTGAATTTGAAAAGTGTTATATTCTGTGCTCATAGGAATATATACTTGAAAAAAGTGGAAAAGAAAGTGGATAAAATAAGTAAAGGTTTATTGTAAAAACCAGTACAATAAGAATAAAGGTAACAGTTATGCACAAGGTTGTCGCAAGTCAATCCAGTAGTAAGTGCTACTATTGGAAGGCCGATAGTTCTCACATAAGTCTGAGTTGTACTCAACAGATTCCATCTAGTAATATTTACCAACCTCCCCATGGGGTAGGATGTAACACAAGGTTGAATTTAATGTAGTGCAATCCTAGCCTGTAGGCTCGGCCAAAAATTCCCCGTAACTCGACATAAACGGGATCAGGTCTGTCTATCTCCCTGGATGAGACTCTGCCTTTTGGCATATCCTCGTCTGGGTTCCTTTGGGTAGAGAGTTCGACAGTAGCTAAGAGCTGAGTAACAGATCCCAGCTAGTCGGTATTTACTAGCACCCCACCCCCACCCCCATAAGGGTAGATGTGGCATAAGGCCGAGTTTAACGTGGGTCTTCCAAGCCTGAAGGCTTGGCCAAAAAATGCCTGTAGAAACCGCATAATGTGATCGCGTAGGTCAACCTCCCCGAACGAGACTCTGCCCTTCGGCTGAGCCTTGTCCGGGTTCCTCTCTGCTCAGAGGCAGAGAGTTTGACCATCTAGCCGAAAAGATTTCAGCTAGTATATGTAGCCACACCCCAGGAGTATTGCATGTGGCACAAGGCTGCGTTTAATGCAGGTTCTCCCTTTTGAACCCTTATAAACGGGTTCAGGGTCAATCTACTTCCCTGCACGAGACTCTGCCCTTTGGCAGAGCCTGGTCTGGGTTCCTCTCTGCCCGAAGGCAGAGAGTTCAACAGTTTAGCCGAAAAGATTTTGGCTAGTCTCTGTAGTCCATTGACTTACAGATACTTATAGGTAGTTACTAGCTATAGTGTAGTCCTTCATGGGGGTGACAGGTTATTCCATTACATCAAGAAGTTAATGAAACTAAAAATCATCAATAATTAGACAGAATAAAACTATCGATAAAGTAATAACATAATGAGGCACATTATTCCAGGAGTGATATGACAAAAAGCAACAATAATAAGATGAAGCAAAACTAGTAATAGAAAATAATAAGAATTTCCTCACAGATAAAGAGGAGACTTCAAGCAATGGAGGTATGGTTTTTTGGAAGAAAAGGAACAGCAAGTGATCTACCTTGTTTGTGTAAATGGATGACAGGATTGCAACTAGAAGGTATAGTAAGTGGATAAACATTGCTTATCCTACAAAGAATAGAATGTTGTAGAGAGTCATGATCACCCAGGCCCAGAAAAGACGTGGCACATGGAAGAAGAATGAATGTATATTGACCAAGTGAAAAAGCCTGACAATAAATCAATAAAGGAAATCTAATAATAATATAATAGTAATAATAAAGTGTGTTTATTGACAAAGAGTGTTGTAATAAGAAGTGTTAATATATTCAAAGAAGAATCAGCAATATTATTGGTCCTGACCTGGCATCTCAACTTCAGTCACTTTCCCACTGCTGTAAAGTTGCTTCCCTGTGCCTCTCATGGTAATTGTTTAGATGAGCTCTTCGCTATTACGAATTGGATGAGCTCTTCGCTATTATGAATTTAAGTAGATTGGCAACAAGGTCTCATCAATTATAGTTGAATTATATGCTAACAGTTTCTTTTCTCGCACTTCTTGATAGTGGAACTCTCAACTGGATCCATGCTTTCAAGCCAACATTTTTCTTAAAAAAACTAAATGCAATGTCAATCATTATCTACTGTCTTCCTGATTACCCTTTTATTGTTCTTGCTCCTTCATAATGTTTCTGTTTTCTAATTCTTTTACATCCAGTAACCTCTTGTGTCTTAGTGGCTTTACTGCCTTAATTCAAATTAAAAAAAAAAAACAAACAAAAAACAAGAGGGAGCAAATCTATTAATAGTAATGATTATAAGTGTGGTGATTAAAGCATTAAAAGATAAAGTAAAAGTAGCAATAAAATAATAATATTCAAAAATTGTTGCCATGACTTTAGAAATTTAATTTAAGTGCAGTACTAAGAGTCTTGCAGCAACAGAAAGGTTGTTCTACAGAAGGATGCTGAGAATACCATGGACTAAACATGCAAACAACAACAAAGTTTTAGAGATAATGGAAACAAAATAGATACTTATAACTAACATCAGGAAGAGATATTTGAAATTTCTGAAGTACATAATGACGACTTTGAAAATTTGATACTCACAGAACAGATTTAAGGTAAGAGAGACAGAAAAAAGCGATGTGTAATGTACTTGGCAAGCTTGATCGAAGAGCAAAGTTTGACAGAGATGGCAAAAAGACAAAAGTTATTAAGAGCTACAAAGGACAGGAAATTGTGGAGAGCCATGATCGTCAACGTCCTTTAGGGACAAGGCACATAGAAGAATACTGTATTGGTTGCTAGATCTCATCCTTTTATATTTGAAATGGCAAAATGTAATCATAAGTTCTATTCTTATAGTTTCTTCTCTCACACTTCTCACATGTGGAACTCTCTTTTGACTTCTTGCTTTCCAGTCAACTTTGACCTTCAAAAATTTAAATGCAATATCAAATGCCATCTTCTGTCTCTTTAATTCCTGTTCTTTTATTGGCCTCTCTTAATAATTAATATTTTTTTTTTTTCTTTTACACTCTGTAACCACTTATTTCTTAGTGTCATTATTACCTTGCCTGGGTTGAAATGCTTAAATAAAAAAAGACCTCATCTAAAAATATTAATTACTTTTAAATAGTAAAGATGATATAGAAAATCAAAATGGAAGCAGGCTGACTTCAAATTTGTGTTCTGCTTAATTATCAGAGATTTTGTGACTAAATTCAGTAAGGCAATGAACATGCATTTGAATAGCGAAAGATGCATTCTAAAAGTTAAGCGAATACTACGAAACAGGAAAATTTTGTTAGAAACAAAGAAAAGAGTGCTAAACAGTTATATCATATCAATTCTTTTGTATGGCAGCGGATGCTGAACAATCTCCTTATTGATAGACGAAGAGAAGACTGGAAGCAATAGAAACATTTTTTCTATAGAGGATGCTGAGAATATTATGGATGGAGCACATAAACAACAAATTCTTAAGGAAAATGGAAATGAAAAAGACCTACTCAGAATTAGAAAGAAAAAATTGAAATATCTGGGACACATAATGAAGAATGGAGGGCTTGGTGAATTTGACACTCACAAGACATATTGAAAGCAAATGGATAGAAGTTCATGGGCCACCTACCCAATGAACTTGTATGAACAGATGGTGGAATGGTGAGTGGAAGGTGATGGCAAAAGGACAAACAATATAAAATGCTACAAAAGAGAGGAAGTTCTTGAAAGCAGTGATAAGCCATGTTCTTAAGGCATACGGGACTGAAGAAGTACAAGTCTAATGAGAAACCGCAGGTCCCATTTTTTTTATTGTCTTTTTACACTGGAGATGTATTCCTAGATGAAGTGGCAAGAATGAAATCAATGTCAAATCAATTAATTATATTACGGAGTAAATGAGGATACATTCCATGGATCTAAAAATTTATAATTTTTCCAAATAAAAATATGTTAACATATATTTCTGTTATTTTAAGATATTGTTATGTTTATGTATTCTTTTTATAGATACAAGTATTTAAGTAAATGTTCTGTTTATAATAAACAGTATTAAACAACATTTACCGGCCTAAATGTCCAAGAACTTTTCACAGAAAATATTCGTCCTCCGACAGGAATCGGACCTTTATCCAATACGGGACCGTCATATAGCCTGACATGCTTTTAACCGATTGGGCCACAGAGGAGTGTTTGGTTAGCAAGGTCGAATTTACTGTCTTTAAACTACAATCTTCTATGATTCTCTCATGTACATTAATATCTGCTCATGACGTATCCAAATGTAAACAAATGATGTCATACATTATGAAATGGACAAAATCCGACAATTATTTTAAGACATTTTTATGTTTATACATTCTTTTTATAGATACAAATATTTAAGTAAATGCTGTTTATAATAAACAGTATTAAACAACATTGATCTTGCTAACCGAATGCTCCTCTGTGGCCAAATCGGTTAAAGGCACGTCAGGATATATGACGGTTCCGTATAGGATACAGGTTTGATTCCTGTCAGAGGACAAATATTTTCTATGAAAATTTCTCAGACATTGAGGCCAGTAAATGTTGTTTAATACTGTTTATTGTAAACAGAGCATTTACTTAAATATTTGTATCTATAAAAAGAATGTATAAACATAAAAATGTCTTAAAATAATTGTCGGACTTTGTCCATTTCATATATTTCTGTGTATAAGATGATCTTTAAATCATTGTTAGAAATTAGGGGTCATCTTATACTATAATTCTAAATAAGAAACTGTAAATTCTGAGTGATATTTGTCAGTAGGCTAACATTGGCCTTGGTGTGATAACCAATAACGTACATAAAAAGATTCACTTTATCAAATAAACTGATAATAAACCATTTCTACCTTATATATTACTCGCTTAACTTCATAATAAATTGCCTATTTGAAGAATAATTCCATAACAATGAAATCAACTTGTATCCATGCAAGCTCAGCTGAGAAAATGTAAACATCAAGTTATGATTGTGAATAAAAAAAATGTTGAAAGTGGAATGTACTATTATTGTACATTATTGTACTGCTATTAGTGGTATTTTGTGATTGTTGATGAAGTATAAGTAAATGGCCATTTGTACACCAGGCTGTTTATAACTGTTTAGATATAGAAGAAGAAGAAGAAGAAGAAGAAGAAGAAGAAGAAGAAGAAGAAGAAGAATCAGTATTTGCAAGAGATCCTGTGATGAAATGTAAACAAAACAATGGTTTCACTTTTAGGGGATGTGTGTAGGAAAAATATGAGATGCTAAGTCAGGATCGATTACATTGTTGATCCTTCTTTGGATTTTGTCAAGAACCTTGAGATAAAAAGCAGGAACACCAGACCAGATATAGCAGCAGTATTCAATGCACAGGTGAATGGCAGATTTGTAAATGTGCAAGATGGACTCTGACAAGAAAGATTTTCTGGCATGACACAGTTTGGTTTTGTTTAACAGAAGCACTGGATGCAACTATAGTTCTATGATGTTGACCCTGGTTGAGCTTCATCTGCAGATGACAGATCAAACCGAGTGCTATGCACCTTTCTAAAAGATGAACAGAGTTGTTTGTCATGTCTTTCTTTTCCTCCCCTTATGGATTTTTTAAGGTGCTAAGTCTTCAGTTAAAGAATTAGTATTAGTGTCTGTGTGACTTTGCATGTGTATATGTAATGCATATGTGTATGTCTGTGTTGTGGATGAGTGACTTATGTATGATTGTGCCATTTAATGTACATACACACACGATATTGAGTTCCCCCCCCCCACTGGGGCAACATGTGACACAAGGTCGGTTGTTTATTGTGGGTAAACAAAAATTTTTTCATGTTTTCAGCTTTATGCTGTACATACACACACGTGCAAACATATACATAAACAATTTAACTAAGTTTGAAAAGAGACATTAGAATAATACAATCCCCTCCAATTCTGTATGGACAACCCCTACCCCGTGCTAAATGATAAAAGCATAAAGCTGAAAACATGAAACATTTTTGATTCTTTTCAAACTTAAAAAATTCAAATAAATAAAAGATTTTATTCTAATCTTAGGAAATTATTCAATAATAAATAAGAGCATTTTTTTAATTTTTAAAAATCTTTTTGTAATATTTTCAGGTGCATAATTGAATTAAATTAAATATAATTGAATTAAATTAAATATACATACACATACCAATGCAAATACACACACACACACACACACATACACACACACACAATTTGAATGAAACTGAAATGAACATCTGTGTCATGAGGGCTAATTTCCCTTGCTGACTGGTAACAGCCCCAAGTAAAGTGCATAAGCCAAAACATAGAACTTTGGAGTCATTTTTATCCATATAAACTGGTCTGTATTTAAACTGTATATACATTTTTAACAATTGTAATGTTTTAAATGAACAAACAATTTGGATATGAAATTTGATGATCTTTGCTGTTAGTGAAGCAACAAGTGACAAACTAGTTCTAATAAAATGGACAGCATTTAAAATCTTTATGATTTACAAGTAATCATTTCTCATCATATCAGTGTTTATTGACCATTTTCTTAAAGAATTTTTGTAGGTAGTATAGCTTGAAAATTGCTCTCCCATCCTGTTTCCTCAACTGCATAACAAATGTTGTGTTTGAAGGCATGTAAACCATATTTTGCTTTAAGCTTTATTTGAAATTCACCAAGATTTGGAGGAGGGCCATAAGCAGCATTATCTAAGAGAAAAATATCTTTGAGCAGCAACTCAATCTCAATGGTGAAGGATTGCAAAAATAGTGTACCCATTCAAGAATAATTCTTGTATGACACATACTTTCTTGTTTAGCTACTAATTGACAGGTAAGTGTAACTTAAATAACCCCTTCAATTCTCTAGGTGATTCTGGTTGATAAATCAATATTGACTTCAATTTCAGAGTTTATGAAACATTACCTCATGTATAAGCAACAGTTTAGCCATGACAGCTTTAAACCTTTGCACAAGCTTTTCTTCAATGACACTAAAGGTCTTTGAAAGCATTCCTTTCCAATATAAACCTGTCTTATTTATACTGAAAATAAGATCCTCAGGATATTTGCCATTCTGTACAATGGCTTCAAATTCAGCAGTGTATACTTTCATGGCTTCAATATTTGCACTTGCTGCTTCACCAGTTATCTTAACAATACAACATTTAATGCCTGTAAACCAGCCATTACTCCTTCCCTGCAAATATCACATCTCCAACTTCTTCCTCCTTCAATTAATCAAAATTAAACTTTTCTTTATCACAAATGATAGTGTGCCTGATTAGGATTTTTTATGGTTCAGATTGTCTGTTCTAAATGCTAATCACTTCTCAATCTGTTTCATTAATTTACCATAAGAATAATTCACTTGCATTACACTTACACTTGTAGCTGGTTAAAATTAAAATTTTCCTTTCTCTGCCCACTTCATTGTTAGTTTCAACAAAAGCAAAGTCATAACTCCACACAGGGTTGGTGCCCCCCACCACTATGTATCTATAATACCCACCAAACCTTTGATACAGGGCCTCCCTCACTCTACTATATTTCACTTTTCATAAAGTTGTATTCATATAAAATACAAATTTTATTGTAACCTAATTATGTACAATGATAGATCATATGTAATATAGGCAAACAATTCAACCAGAAAAATTGAAAATAAATGCAACGTATCTAAATACAAGTTATAGACGTATCATAATAGACCATTTCATCTGAAATAAATCAACAATGTTTTGTGCAATTGTTAACATCAACATGATTTTTCTTGTTAAAAAGTTGAAAGACTTTAACATATTCAACATTATGGATGAAAAATCATGAATTTTATATAGTTTTTTTTTTTCAAGACTTAGCATGAGTGAAACAAATTTACAGAATTTACAAAAATAAAGACCCCAGAATGACGTCAAAATCTGCAAAATGTTTTCATCCTTTCATAGTAAGTTTATTAGTTTGATTTGTAATATATATAAATGTAGGTACTAAAAGCAAATGTTGATAAGCTAGCAAGTATCACAAAGCACTGCCTGAGGCTCCTAATAATGCTTCCTCCCTGAGTCAGGATGTTCAGGGGTAGTACATGCCAGCCCCGACTTCACAAACATTAAGCCAGCCTTTACCACCTTTCATTCAGTGAAATATTTCAGTTTTATTTTCTAAAATTATGAATCAATAATTCCTAGAGGCTTGGAGCACTTGGATTCACTGTGACAGTGTCATGATAGTTAATATGATTGAGTATTTGTCAGCCACTGTCATTGTTTGGTAGGGGACTGAGTCAGTTGTGTTGCTGTCTTGTCTATTGTACATTTGACTAAATAAAGTCAAACATATGACAGAATTTACTTACAAAACAGAAACAACCAACACATTACCTTTCCTAGATATTATGTTATGCTATACTGACAATGAACTAAAACAAAGTGTCCATCACAAATCACCTAATAAAAAAAACTAATAAATTTTGATTTTCACCATAGCAACAAAATAAAATCTGAAATAATTATCTGATTCTATCAGGTCATCCCATAAGTTCTGTCCGAATTTTGAATAAAGAAAACAAGTGACCAAATGTTACATTTAATTACAGATTCAATCAACAATGTATTTTCCCTGATTATCTATGACTTCCTTCCATCTATTAACAAGCTTACTAATTCCATTACTGTAAAATTCTTTTGGCTTTAATTCAAAGAACTCACAAATGTCAGTTTTAACCTCTTCCTGTGTTACAAAAGCTGTTTCTTCCAAATGATTCTGTAAGCTACAAAACAAATGGTAGTCTGAAGTAGCAAGATCAGGAGAATAAGATGGATGAGGAATTTTCTCCCAACCAAGTTCTTCAATCTTTTGTGACGTTATTCTTGCTGTGTGGGGTGGCACATTGTCCTGATGAAACATCACCCCTTTTCGATTCACTAAAGCAGGTCTTTTTTTCCTCAAAGCTTGGTTCAAACGCTCTAATTGCTGACAGAATATTTGAGCATTAATTGTTGCATTAGGTGGTAAAAATTCAAAGTGGATTAGTCCTTGGCGATCCCACCAGATTGAAAGAAGAAACTTTTGCCCATGAAGTTCCCTTCTCGGCTGTGGCTGTGGTCCTTCCACTTTACTAAGCCACTGTCTACAATGCTTAACATTTCAATAAAAGATCCATTTTTCATTGCCAGTCACAAGTCTATCCAAAAAAGGTGAAACAAGTTGGTGAGAATGGAGAGAAGAGCAGATGTCAACTCGGGATTTGAGGTTGTTTTCAGACAATTCATGAGGCACCCATTTTCCAAGTTTAGGAACTTTTCCAAGTTGTTGAAGATGATGATGAACAGTTGCATGTTTTGAACTGAGAACCACTGCCAATTCCTCAACTCATAAAGCAGGATTTTCTTCAAGAAGCTTTTCATCAAACTCAACTGGACGTCCGGTTCAATCTTCATCTTCAAGGGTGAAATCTCCACCTCTGAATTTTGCAAACCATCTTCTGCAAGTTCTTTCATTCACATATTCCTCTCCATAAACTGAGTGAATGTTTCTAGCTGCTTCGGCTGCTGAGTTTCCTTTCTTGAACTCATAAAGCATTATGTGCCTGAAATGATTCTTGGGTACTTCCATGTTAGCAGGGTTTTAATCAAACAAAATTTAATTTTATTGTTCTCTGAAATAAAATTTGATCAGTTTAAATGCATCTAAACATAAAAATAATGTTCAGCTCCATTAGACATTATAAAATACTCTTTAAATTTTGTTCATTTTAACAAAAAGTTAAAATTCGGACAGAACTTATGGGATGACCTGATAAAATTTGAATGGAAGTTTTAACAACTCCAAAATAAAATTGTTTTAATTTAATCACCATAGAGAACATTTTCTGCCTGCCATCAGTATGGCTGATGCTAACCTTAAATTTCGTTCATTTTAAAAAAAAGTTAAAATTCAGACAGAACTTATGGGATGACCTGATATTTAAAAGCACTCAGAATTTGTATCCCTAAATATTTAGATGATTAAGAGAAATACATTGAAAATACTTTTAAGCTCCTCCTATAACTTAATGATTTCATATTTAGCATGAAAAAGAAGGCTTGTAAAATATTTTAAAATAGTGGAATGGACTATTCAAGCAAATCCAAACAAATTAAGATATATTACTCTACCTACCAACTCTATTACAACTACAACTGAAAAGAATCTAAGCTTAACATAAAATTTGTTAAACTAATTCTAAAACAATAAGAGACTTAATTAATGCAAAACAAAATAATAAAGAGCTAAAACTTGAAGGCGGATTTTACTCTATGGCCTGTAATGATTGTCACAAGGAATACAAACCTTGAGGAATTTAATTAAAAAATACATGAACACAAAAGAGATCTTTTATAAAACAATGCACTTGATGTATTAGTTGTTCACTGTAATTAGCCTGACTATAATTTCAATTTAAAAAATGCTGCTTTAATTAAAGAAGAAAGCAATTTAGTAAGACAAAAGTGTATAGAAAGTGCTTTGATTGCTAGATTATCCACAGTAAATTTACATCCAGATTCTTACAACATTTCACCTTTCTTGACAGGTCTTCTATTATCACAATGTAGAATGTTTAATTATAAAAGTAATAAACACAAAAGCATAAAAAACTACATGAAATTGGCTAGACTACATGCCCAGATATATGTAAAAGTTAAAAAAATTGAACATTTCGAATATTTTCAGCATTTTATATTTGTGTAGAATTATATCCAACATTTGCATTCTTATGTACCCCTCCTCTTCCTATCTATACATAATTCCATCAACAAAAATATTACTTTAGTCTAATGAAGTCTTAAAGGATGAAATGCATCACACAGTCATTGTGAACATAGGAATTAGCACAGCATTCTAACTGATTTTTTACAGTGAACTAAAGAATATAAAACAAACACTTATTCATGATAGCTTTCCAAACTATATAGTTGATGAACAAATAAGATGCTTTCTTAGAAATCTCAATACTAAGCAAATAGTACATAATACTGCTTCTACTCATCTCTTAAATGATTTTCAGCATGACTTGATGATTACATGAGGTTTAAATATATATATATATATATATATATATATATATATATATATATATATATATATATATATATATATAGGTAGCAATCCTTCCTTTATGCATGTTTCATTAAAAACGACAGACAAGGTACTACAGTTAAGCTTTTTATTTAATATTTTTTTGTGTTAAACAAGAGCTTTCTTTTCTGGACAAAGGGTGTGTAAGAACTGTCCAAATGTTTTATATTTCCGAGCGGTTTTGGCTATACCTTTAGCCATTATCAAGGATGATTTGATTTTTCAGCTTAATTGAGTGTGTGCATTCTGTGTATGTCTTAGTGTGTGGTGGGATTGTTTTAATATATATATATATTCATACATGTTTCATTAAATAATATAGACAAGTGTTGTCTATTTATTTTATGTAAATTCTTTTCATAATATCCAATAAGCTTAACATTATCATTAAATTCCCTACCTTCCTAGTAAATATAGTGTTAAGTCAACATTAGAAGTAATCCAAATCCTAAAAAGTGAAAAACCCGACAATGAAATCACTTGATGTCGAAAACTTATTTACCAATGTCCCTGTTAGTGAAACTATTGACATAATTATAAGAAATATATATAGTAACTCATCTTTACCCCACTTAAAATTAATCCTAATATATTACGAAAACTACTATTAGCTTGTACTACTGAAGTCCCTTTCTTCGATCATAATAATAATAATAATAA